ATTTCCCATGACTGGACTATATGTCTGTTACATTTACACTAATTTGCTTTTTGTTTTTTTGTTCTTATGTCTCCAGCTTATAAAATTTGTTCCCATTGTTCTCATATTAAAGGCATGAAATTTTCTATAAAGACGGATAAACTCTGTTTTCCATTTTAATTTTGTACACTCTATTTGAAAGACAGAAAATGCTCTCATGGTATTTTAAGAATCTATGAAGATTCTGCTTAATCTTATGTTTCAAGTCTATGAAGCATATCCTAAAGCAATAATCATAACAGTTAAGATACACTTACTTGCATAACATTTTTGTTGAAATACGTTTTAGGTATCATATATTCTGCAACATCCCTGGCAAGGGAGTGCGAATAATACTTCAAAATGAAACTTCCTTTTTTACTTCAGCTTCTTTCTTTGATTAAGAAGTCATGAATATATCTTGCCTCCTACACAAATGAAAATGTGTTTAAATGCAATTAATCTACCCTATTAACTCTACTAAACATTTACTGTATTTGTTAAACACTTCAAAATTCTGTTCTGAACCAGTTAATTCTAAGTAATTTCTCAGTTAAATATTTACATGGGCTTCCATAATGATAAGCTCTAGACTGTCTTAAATAGCAGATTGTCCAGAGAGAGCTATGTGAAATGTAACACACTATAATAGCTGTCCACTGGAACTTAAAATGATTTAGCTAGTTTGGACTATTTTTTACATAGTTTTAGTCTAGCTAAAAGAGGCAACAGCCTTATGAATTCCTTTCCCTGTCAACATTTTTAATGTCCAGGATTCCACTTAAAAAAAAAAAAAAAAGGAATTGGGCGCCTGGATGGCTTAGTTGGTTAAGTGTCCAACATCAGCTCAGGTCCTGATCTCAGGGTCAGGTTTGTGTGTTCGAGCCGCACATCGGGCTCTGTGCTGACACCTCGGAACCTGGAGCCTGCTTCAGATCCTGTGTCTCATTCTCTCTCTGCCCCTTCCCTGCTTGTGCTCTGTTTCTCAAAAATAAATAAATGTAAAAAAAATAAAATTAAAAAAATAAAAGGAATGAATGCCTCTGTAGACATATGCAGATATTTACATCATGAATATCCTAAATACGTTCTTATACTTCTCTTTCAGAAAAGAAGCAAATCTTTATGTTCGTGAAAAATTAGGAATAATCCAGTTTACGGTTATTTTCAGAGCAGACTAAGATGAAAAAAGTATAAAAAATAAATTGGCATTACTCTTCAGCAAATAAAATCAAAGAAGAAAACAATGCACAGATTATACAAATATGCCATGTACACAAAGATACATAAAATGATTCTCTAACTTAAAAGTGGTTTAAATTATAAAATATCAAATAGTGGTTGAAGATTTAAATAAGTTCCATAATGGAGATGATATAAGAAGAGGTAAATAATTAATTCTTACATGAATTGTAAGGCCATTTTACTCTTAGACATCAGATCATTGAATTACTTTAGATGAGAAATACAGACAAGATAGAAAGTTATCCAATGTATTTAAGTTCAAGTTTTGAAAATAATTGTGATTAGATATCAACCAGAAATCTGTTTCCTATCACCACCACCCAGTATTCCATCCTGGTGTTTTCTTCCTGATGGTGCAATTTACTAAGTATATATTGAGTCTCTTCTATAAGTGTGGTAGAGGATAGAAAACAAATGATGCTCTGTCCTCTAGGACTCATAGTCAAATAAGAGTAAGTAAAGTACACACATAATGGCATTTACAAGGCCAGAGAAAGAAAGAATTGGGCAAAAGTTCTGAGACAAATGGTGAGCTCCACCCAAGTTTAAGTAGGCTGGAGCTTAGATATATCTATAATTTTCAATAGTAAGTGATCAGCAAATTCACTGTTTGATTTTACTAAATGAACGGAGTAGTAAACTGGATAATTGCAAATAGTGAACATCCCCAAATTTTAATTTCTTATTGGGGAAGAAATATAATTTTTTTATACTTGATTGACCTATGTTTTACTAATGACAATACTGATATTATTTTTCTTCATTAATGTCAACTACTTTCAATAAAGACAGCCCCCAAATATTCTGAATATTAATGTAATGTGGCTAGGATTAAAAATTGGTCATGGATAATCCAAATAGTGAATAATCCATTGAAGATTAAAAATAATTCCCTAACTTTTCATCAAAAACCTATCTGGGTTCTAGACTTAGCAAATATAGGGTGGGGGTGGGGCATGGGATTCAGAATCATGAACATTCAGGAGGCATACTAGTGAGCTTATGTGTGTGAGTGTACCATTTGGACTTTGCACACAAAAGGGTCTCATAAATATTTTTGAATCCATTCCAAATCAAGTTTAATATTTTTGCATTTTTGTAGGCTTTTGTTATACAATTTCTCCAACGTAAAGGGAATGCAATTTTGATTATATGTAGTTCAGACTTAATTGTACTCCCTTGATGAATATTTGGTGTATGTTTTAGTATCTCATGTTGAAAAACACTGAAAGAGCTGTCAACATTTGTATAGATATCAAAAATGTTGTATATAAGTTTGACTATTCATGAAATTATAATAGTTTCCTAAGGGTAAAAGCAAGGAGTTTAATCTAAAGCCAAGATTGTGTCGTTCTTATAAAAAGATGACACAACTCCCTGTAATTACATTGTAATTAATACTTGGTATATTTGGATTTCAGAGGTTGTTTTGCTTATGCACATTATAAATTTGCCATCCTTAAGTTGGCCTAATTAGCCACCTTTCCTCTGTTATATATCTTTTGGCAGGTATTTTTTGTAAAAAATCAAACAGAACTGATCACTTTTTTCATTCCTTGTTTTTTATTCCTCCCTAAATCAATAAAACATAGGCTTTATATGTCCCTATGATATTAAATTGTTCCAAGAATAAATAAAAGAAATGAAAGTAATAAATACATACTTTTTACTAGTGTTTTGTTTGGAAGGAATCAGAAAGATTTGAGGAAACACTGAGGATTTGTGATACATGCAGAATTTTTTGTATTAATGCTTTTTGAAAATGAGTTACAGTAATTTATATTAAATACTGACAACTTTAATCAAATGAGAGCTATCTGAATGAAAAATTACAACATGTTTATAACTTTTTTATTTCAAATAAAATTAGATGGTGAAATTATGCACATTATGACATTCATTAAAATTTAAGTTTCTTCTGTAAAAAAATGAATATACATATAATAAATAATTATAGGTCATCACAAGCACATCTGATGTTTTAGTTTAAAATTAACCACAGCTTTTAAAGAAAAAAGGTCATAATGTACAAATGTATCATAATTTTTTTTAAATTAGGTAACAAATCGGTTTCTTCTGGAATGGTGGTAAATTCAGATTTGTTTGAATATGAATTACTAGATTTCTCATTTATTCCAAACCATTTAAGCATTATATGTATGATAGGTTAATCATTAATATTTGTAAAATCCTTTGAAAATTGTTGGATTTACCCAAAAACTTATTAAAGTACATTGATTTCCCACTATAAATTTTTTCATTCAGACATTAATAGGCACATAGTATTGAATAAGACACAGATTCTACTTGTTATCCTTAGAGCTTGGTGAATTCATTACCTGAGCAATCATTTAAATGAACTTATGATAAGGAGTTTAAAGGACAAGTATAAGGCACTTTAGGACTGATGAACCAGGACATTCATCCCATCCTGTGGAAAGTCAGAGAAGGTCAGGTGTTTTCTTAAGATCAGTTTGGCTGTGACGTGGAGGTTGGGGAGGTTGGTGTCTGGTTCAACTGAGAAGTTCTTACAGATGAGCAAGCAAGAAGTAATCATTGGAGCTGTTGTGATGTAAAGAAATAGATGGTTCCAAATATACTTTGGAGATGCACCAACCAGACTTAGTAATTGGATATGAAAGAGAGATTTGAGAGAGGAAAGTGTGGAGGTTGAGCTCTAGATTTTTGGCATGAGCACTAGCAGAGTGTTGTGTGGATTTACTGAGTTGGGGAATGCTGGAAGAGAATCCAGTTTGGGAGAGAGGGTCCTAAGTTCAGTGTCTGATGTGCTGTTTCAGATGCCTGTGAGATATTAGAGTGAGTATCAAAAACAGGCAGTTGGATATGTGAATATGCAGCTCAGAAAATAACCTAGATTATAAACCTTGGAGTCACTGGCCTAGAATATTCAAAGCCCTCAGTACATGAGATCATGGGGAGGTAATGAGCACTGAGAAGAAAATAAGCCTAAACTCTCATGTTTAAAAGATGGAATGGGGAAGAAGGAAGCATCAGGAGAGCTAAGAAGAAACTTTAAAAGAGGCAATAATTACTGACAATTTTAAAAAATAGCCATATGATCATTTTGAGTTTCATGTTGAGTAAGAATTCTCGTATAAAAGTAACTGACAATCAGGAGACTTAATTTGCAGATTAACAGCACCTGGGATTTCCTGGGCCTTTTTTATAACCTGAAAAAAAGATTATTTTTCTGCCTCTTGATAAGCTGTGAGAAAGTGTTAAATAATGTCTGTGATACTAAAAATTAAATGCTATGAAGAGACATATGTTGAAGCCAACATCATAACCATGTGTTTTCTCAGAGGATACTTACAGAGCTACTCTCAACGAAAAGTGTGGCTGTATTTATAGAGTTCAAATATAGAAAGAGACTTTTTTTCCCTGCTTGAAAATATTGTTACTACTTATTTATGGTAGTTCGGTGAAACATAGTTCTGACCATATGGGAGTCTTTATTGAAGTGAACACTGGTCTCACACCTGATTTGGAATCGCCTTTTTTTTTTCTTTTCTGAAGTTAACTCCAAAGATAAGCCAGTCGCCGAAGAACTTACCATTTTTAATATATTACAGAGTCTAACTTTGGAAAAACTCAAATCATTTAAAAAGATTTGCTTAATCAATAAAGTAGGTATTAATTTTCACAGCATGCTTTGTGAGGCAACTGTACTTGAAACCGTCTATTAACATGTGTTCTTCACCCCCACCCCACACCAGGGTTCCCTGGGGATACAAGGCCCACAAGGTCCACCTGGAAAAGAAGGTCAGAGGGTAAGTAAACTTGGAACAACTGGCAGCCATTACTGTCTCAGGGCTCACTTATTTCCGAACATTAATAAAAATAAACCCAAAATATAGCAAGCAGATGGGCCTAAGAAGAGTATTAACTATCCAAAGGCTGAAATTTGAGATTTTGACAGAGCCTTTACAATCCAGAAAGTTCTATATATTTTTAAGATTGGCAGCACAAATGTAGAGACATAGTTTAGGTGAAATGAATGAACCGTAATTTGATCTAGGACACGTTGGTCATACTTTGGAGTTTTGAGTTAAACTGATGTTTGCAGAGTTAAGTTGACGAGTATCTTTGTGGAGTTCCAGCCTATTCATGAATTCTGTGAGGATTGTGGATATTAACTACAGTCTTTAGCCGAATTAAATTATTGACATTAGTGATGCATTGTAATTCTTCTTTCATTACTGTTTACTGCCTTTGAGATAAAATGTGTAGTAAGTGAATAAATTGTACTTGAAATAGTTAGTCTTATCTTCCTCCAGTAAAGGGACCCCCTGCAGTGATAATGGGTCAGGCCCAGTTGAATATTTTCAGCAGTGGGATACCCCATTCTTATGGCTTATTGTTATTACCATTTTCAAATCATTTTAAAGTCTCAAAACATTTTATGTGTGCTTGCTCATACAATTATTATTATTAACTTTGTTACCTTATTTATGAGGATTGTATGACTCAGAGAGTTTAGGTGACTTGCCTAAAGTCAAAGAGCTAATAAAAAGTAGAACCAGGACTGGATTTGGGGGCTTTTGATTCTAAATCCCATGTTCTCTTTTACTGTCCCAGCATATTAACCCCAAATCTCTTTTTTAGTCATTTTTTGTTATTTCCAGTCTGCCCTCTGGCAAATAAGTCATTTGCCTCAAGTATTAGAGTCCTTCAAATATTTGGGAACCAGTGGTATATTTTACCAAGGTTTAGCTTTTATCAGGTCAATAAAATCCCATTTCTCTTAACTCTTTCTTTTATGTGGATTCCTAACTCCTAACACACTGATAATAATTCCCAGAAAATACTCATGGACTTTCTGGATATATCAGGAATGGGACTGAACTTGTGTGGTCTTATTTAGGGCAGAGCAAAATGTGGCAAGTATGCCCGGTACTATTGACCATATACTTCTACTGGAGTTTAAGATTGAGACGATGCTTCTGTGTATTTTTTTTAAAACTAACTCCTTCTACTAGAGTGGCTTTGTTCCTTTGTTTTTGTTTTTTATATTTTTTGGTGGGACAATTAAGATTTGATTTGGGAAAAAAATCAAAATTAAAAAATTCTGTGTCTATATTTTATGCCCAATGGCTAGTTTAGTAAACACAAAAAGGCTTATTAGTAAATTTTGATGGCTAAGAAAATAAAAGGACAACTTTTGTGAGTAATGGCTAAGATTTATGGGTTACCTATAATGTGCTAAATGTTTTATCTTATTTCATTATTTATTTCTCACAATAGCTCTAGGAAGTATAAAATGCTATCATCCTTATAGAGAAACTAAGGTTTTAAACAACTCAGATAGGATACATGGCTAATAAGTGGAATTATGCTCATATTTAAAAATTATTTATAAAGTAGCATACTTGAGTTCTACTCCCAACACCTATATATACAATTATAGTTTCCCCTTCGGATCTCCAGCCCCTCTCTATTCAGGCGTTCATTAATCCATCTGATGAAAGTTTTAAGTAGTCCTAGGGAGAAAAATAAAAAATTATTTCTCTAGATCTGGGCTTTTGCATCTGCCTTAAGCGTTTAAAACCACTGGGAGCAGAGGGCTAAATGAAATGACCTTGTGAAGTTAATTTTTAAGCTTCTTTTTCTGTTTTCTCACATAATGGCCAAGATGTCTAATTGCATCTAGGACCATGTTTCTGAGTTATTTTCTATGTTCAGTATCCAGGGGACATTTTCCTTCTAACCTCTCTCCTTTCTTGGAAACTGAGTGATAAATTATACCCCCCTAGTTAATATCCAGAATATATAGGAACTCAAGCACCTCAACAGCAAACCCCTAGTAACACAATTTAAAAATGGGCAAAGAACCTGACTTAGACATTTCTCAAAATAAGACATACAAATGGCCAACATGTACATTAAAAGTTGCCAAATATCACTAATAATCAGGGAATGCAAATCAAACCATAACGAGCTATCACCTCACACCTGTCAGAATGGCTATTATCAGAAACACAAGAGATAAGAAGTGTTGGTAAGGATGCAGAGAAAAGGGAATCCTAGTGCACTGTTGGTAGGAATGTAAATTGGGACAGCCACCGTAGAAAAGAGCATGGAGGTTTCTTAAAATTAAAAATAGAACTACCTAATGACCCAGCAATTACACTTCTGGGTATCTATCCAAAGGAAATAAAACCAGCAATTCAAGGAAATATTTGCACTCCCATGATATGCAAACAACTTAAACATGTGTTGACAGGTGAATGGATAAAGAAAATGTGATCACACACACACACACACACACACACACACACACACACGTGTGCACATAATGGAATATTATTCAGTCTTTAAAAAGGAGGAAATCCTGTCATTTGTAATAACATGGATGAATATGGAGGACATTATGCTAAGTGAGTTAAGCCAGATATAAGGAAGGACAAATACTGCATGTTCTCACTTATATGTCTAAATCCAAAAATGTCAGATTCATATAAACAGAGGTAGAATGGTGGTTACCAGAGGCTAGGATGAGGGAGCTAGGGGAGATGTTGGTCAAAGTGTATAGCTTTAGTTATGCAAGATAAATAACTTCTAGAGATCTAATGTACAACAAAGAGACTATAATTAATATTGTATACTTGAAATTTGCTAAAAGGTTAGATCTTATGTGTTTTTACCACAAGAAAAAAAAAGGGTAATTATCTGTGAGGTGATGGATATGTTAATTAGCTTAATTGTGCGAATAGTTCACAATGTAGATCAGATCATCAAGTTGTATGCCTTAACTATATATAATTTTCCAACTGTAGCTCAATGAAGTAGAAAAATAATAAGCAGATTTAGTTTCAATACCCAAAAATGTATACTCTGTAGGTTGTTTGAAATGGAAATTATGGAGCTAGGTGGGTGAGGTGAGGTCTAAGGCATTATGTCTGAATTATTCTTCCCATGGCAGAGTTGTCTGTGTGCATGGTAAGTACATTTGACATGAGATCCATCTTCTTAACAAATTTTTAATTGGACAGTGATATCGCACTTTTGATTTATACAAACATGTGGTCAGTTTGAAGTTCCCTCTCTTTTATTTTAATGAAAACCTATGCCAAGTCAGATTTTCATCCATCCTGTTGTTGTTCAGTTGCCTTTTTCAATTGCAGAGTAGGAATTGATCTTTGTCCTTATTACATTTTATCTTCTGAATTTTGGTCTCGAATGTCATTCTATTAGTTTTCTTTCCAGTGAAATAGCTCCCAGCTTTATATCACCTTAAAATTTGATAAACCTATCCTCTAAGTCTTCATGCAAATCTTTAATAAATCCTGAACAGAACAGAAGCTGACAAGTTCACATAACACCAGCAATGGCTGCCATCTTGATTATCATTGATGTTCTTGTGGCATGATAATTAAATCATGTACAAATACATTCAACTCTACCTCTTTCCCACCCACAATTCTTAATTTGGCTTGTAAGATAATTATGAGAGCTTTTGTCAGATACTTGCTGAAATGAAAAAAAAATATTCAAATGAGGCTTTTAAAAAATAATAATGCTTCAAATTAAAATTGTACCCTATCAAAGCTTACATTTCAGAGGAAGGTGTGTTAAAGAATAAATTAAACTTATGTATTCTTTGTGATAATTATGGAGGAACATATTCAAATTATAAAGTTCAATCACTACCTTATGCAAATTCACTCCATTTATAAATATGTATAGTCCCAATAACTTAATATTACTTTTCTTTTATCTTCTATCAAGAGTAACGTGTCAGAAACTGAAGAATGTAATAGAATTTTATGGATACCGTTAGGCATGGCTTGTCATTATTCCTGCTGCCTTTCACAAGTGCCGTATTTATTGAGGAAAATAGCTGGAACAGATATTGGCATTATCCACATTTACAAATTATTATTTCCAAATACACTCCACAAGTTACGCTGCTTTGAAGCTACTTAAAATGGAAGCAAATTAAAGAAATGACCATTCTTACGTATTTGCAGTTAGGTCCATCTTAGTGCTACCATTTCTTCTCTGTTCAAGAGTTAGGTAGCACTCAGCTCTTTTAGAGATACTAATGTACTTGTATGTGTATGTGTGTGTATGCATACACACATACTTACATACACATGTTCTACAAACAGAGACCATTTTCCCACTTCACTGATGCTTGCAATAGAAAACAACAGAAAAATCTATGAATTTAAATTTATTTTTTGATGATGCTTTGTCAACAAAACTCTTCTATTTTGCTTATGGGTGTTTGACCAGGAAGGAATTGGCTGTCATTAAGTTAATTGCAATGGCATATAAAATTTGTGGCCAGTCTTGTACAATTTACTTTTGGGCATAAATGTCTTTAATGAAAGTAGAACATTTAATTTTTTTTTTTTAATTTTTTTTCCAACGTTCATTTATTTTTGGGACAGAGAGAGACAGAGCATGAACGGGGGAGGGGCAGAGAGAGAGGGAGACACAGAATCTGAAACAGGCTCCAGGCTCTGAGCCATCAGCCCAGAGCCTGACGCGGGGCTCGAACTCACGGACCGCGAGATCGTGACCTGGCTGAAGTCGGACGCTTAACCGACTGCGCCACCCAGGCGCCCCTAGAACATTTAATTTTAAACAAATAATTGACTTGTTGGTTTTCCTAATGGTTAAATAGCTAATAGCTTCTACTCTACCAATATCTCACAGTTATCGTTAGTTTCAAATATAGATGTCACATACTTTGAAAAATATCAAACATCATTGAAACATGTTAATATTACTATTATTATTTTTATTAAACCATACAGATTCT